ATCAGCCACTGGAATGTGGAGCAGAGGACCCTGCAGGACGCTCTGCTGTTGCAGAGCTCTTCCTTGGCTCCTCTGCGTCTGCTGTAATAAAAGAGCCTAAACAGGCTGAGACTGATGACACGGAAAGCAGAGCCGTAAACCCAAGCGTGTCCAGCCTGTGGGGCTGTGGCTTTGCCTGCTTTTATGGCAGGTGTCACCTGAGGCTCCCTAGGGAGCTGGGGGACGGGATGGATGGGGCTCGCAGCGTGGTCCATGGCCCAGCGAGCAGCAGGGCTCCCACTGGAAGCCGTCATGTGAGGAAGCACCTGGAAACACCTGGAAGGACTTGGAGCGGGGCGGCCGGGCACGCGCTCCGGAGCGCGGCTCCCACGGAGGCTCAGCCATGGGACACGCGGCTCTGGCAGGGAGCGGGTCAGCGGGGAATGCTGACGGCCTTGCCGGATTGCGCCGGGTCCATGGAGCCGCCTGCCTCTATGCGTTGACAAGGCCATGGCCACCGGTGCATCCCCTGCTCTGGGACATGGTCCACGTGCAGCTTGGCCAGGGGTCGATGCTGGGATGCGGCTCAGGGGGTCGAATCCGTTCCGATGCGGCGAAGCCCAGATAGGAGAGCCCTGGCCTGGGGATCGGCTGCTGCTTCTGAGCCAGCAAAAAGCCCCAGCGCGTCCCCCGTGAGCCAGCGGCCCAACAAAGAGAACGTGACTCCTCACTAAGCCCCTGAGATCCAGCAGTGCTGCAGATACAGGGCTGTTATTATTCCGTCCTTCAGGGAACAGATGAAAGAAAGGATGCACATGAATTACCAAGGGTGAGGCTCTGAGAACATCTTAGTAACTCGAAAATCACTTAAGCACGTTACAATGTGGAAACAGCCAGAGGGGCTGCGTGGAGGAAGGAGATCACTATAGGAGAGGAGTTACTAAAGGGTTCCTAATCCCTCTTATTCTTTTGCTACCTCACAGGCATCTCTGCTAAAAGAAAAGGGAATTTCTCTTATCCCAAGGTGACACCTCGGGGCTGGCAGGCGTCAGGCTGGGTGTGCCATGTTCCACTGAATGCAGCAAGAGTGCAGCCATGTCGGTGAAAGGCTTTGCTTTTCCCAGGAAAAGAAAGGGGGAGAGCAGCATCCCCCTTCCTGCTTCTCGGCTGCTTTTCACGCTGATACCTGTCCGCTCCATCGCTCTAATCACCGCGCTCAATCCCTTAATAGCGCGATCCAGGCGTGGCCGCTGGGCGCCCGCGTTGCCTCATCCCTGCACATCTCCCCTGCATCGGCCCTGCCGCGCTGCATTAGCCCCATCCTGCAGCTGCAAATCTGCAGCAAAGAGCGTTCTCTCTATACAAACATAACCCCAAATCAGCACGTGCCGTGTTCTCCCCGTCAGAAACAGCACACAGGTGCCTGGCAGCAGATGTCTACTGTGCTTTGCAATTCCTTGTGCTCTTTTTGGTCTGTCTAGGCATGGAAATGACCTCAGCAATGAGCTAGCAGGACTGTGGGTTTCTGCAAACCGTTCAGAGTCACAGCTTGCTCTTGTGGAGCCAGTGGAAGGTTATGGAGCAAAGCAAGGAAGTTTAAGTTCATCATACAGGTGTCATTACAAAACACTAGGCTTCTGCCATATACATGGGTTGAAAAAAACCTTGTTGTAGGGACTTTCTAATCCCTACAGAGATTCACCCAAGATCAATACGTAAGCAGAAATTACCTGAGTTTCTTTTCTTTTGAACCACAGGATTTCTGCCAGATACATTATACTACACAAATACCGCCAGGTCTGTGCTTGTCCTGGGATAGAGGTCCCGCCTGGAGAACTTCCAGCTGGCTTGGGATCAACCCTACACACAGATCACGGATGCTCAGAGATCTGAAGTCAGCAGCTTTATACTTTATGTGTCTTTATGCTCCTTTAAAAAGCAAATAAATAGCACATTCGAGCAAATAAGTAGGTTTCTAGGGTTTTAATGATAGAGGACACTTGTGTGTGCCTGGGCAGGTTGCAGAGCATCCGCTGGAGCTGCTTCCCAGGGAAGCGGCACCTCCGCTACCTGCGATGGGAAACGTCGCCCAGAGCAAGCAGCTCCCGCGGTGAATCACACCGGGGTGCTGGGAACGGGCGGGAGGACCGGGACCTGCAGTGCTCCTGGTGGGATGTGACAAAAGACATGAAAACAGAGGGAAAAAAGTGATGACTCTGGAATTTGGCTCCGATTGCCAGGGGTGACGAAAAGCGCAGGCAACGCCTCCCGCCGGGGCTATAAAGGGCCGCGCGGCGGGGAGGGCGGCACTCGCGGCTCCCCCGCGCCACGGGCTCCTCCGCCGCTCGCCATGGCCACCACGATGCGGCTTGGGCGGTGGCCTCGGCGGTGGCTATGGGGGCAGCTACGGGGGCAGCCTGGGCAGCAGCTTCGGAGGTGGCTTCGGAGGTGTCTTTGGGGGCGGCGAGGGCATCCTGCAAGCCGGGGAGAAGGAGACGATGCAGAACCTCAACGACCGCCTGGCCGCCTACCTGGACAAAGTGCGAGCCCTGGAGGAGGCCAACACCGACCTGGAGGTGAAGATCCGCGAGTGGTACAAGAAGCAGGCGCCCGGCCCCGACCGCGACTACAGCCCCTACTACAGGACCATCGAGGAGCTCCGCACCAAGGTAGGAGGCTGCAACAACCACGTAGCAACGGCTCCTACCCGAGCACCGTTACTAGAGAGGAAGCAAAACCACAGGCTGCTGCTTCTGTAATTAGCAGGTTCTAACTATGCGGTCAACAAGTGTCTGAGATACGTACGCAGGCGGCCGGGCTGGAAATATAAGGACTGACCAATGTTGGGTTTGATCACGTTCTTCCAGATGGAGGAAATGGCAATTTTCTTTGGATGAAGCAGATATTAAAGGACATAAAGCAAAAATTAGGAATTAGATGTCTGCACAGATAATGAATATTTTTGGTGTGTATGAACAGGGAAACATTGATGGGGTATGTGTACTTATTCAGTTAAAGTGTTTGCTACCTGCTGCCAGCTATTTCTGCTCCTCAATACTATTCTGATAAAGATGGTTAAAGAGGAGGAGGTGGATCCGACCAGCAGTGACATCTCAGTCCCCTTTCAGCAGCCACCAGGCTGGCTCCATAACCACTGTCCAGGCTGCTCTGGAGAGAGTTCTCTTTGCTGTGACTTGATTCCTTCTGTCCCACCGTGAGGGAAGAATCAGGAGTTCACTTTGTTCTTCTCTGTGACCAGTTGTCACTAGTAAGCTTGACGGTCCCTTGCTCAGCCCCAGTGCAAGGCTGCTGGAAGGAAAACCATTTTCCCTCTCACTGGCATCATAACTGATATCCCAACATCCTCACAAGCCCTGACCTGAATCTTTTCTCAATTTGGCTTATTTGCTCCTATTTTGCATTAGATAAAACAGAAGTCTTAGGCACCTGCTCATTCCCATTTGCAAATCAAATCCATCCAGGAACAAATGGGTACAAGGACTGCCCCACAAGGACACCCTGCTGGTCCATCTGTCCTGCCAGAATGGCACTGTGCTGCGCATGGGCGAGTGGGTAATTCTTGCTTGACCCTTCCTTAATCAGCACCCGCCCTGGGGCAGGGGAACAGATGCTGCCTTCAGACCTCACGTATCTTTCGTGACTTGGAGCTGCCTCCGAAACACTCAGGGATTTTTGGAAAGGGAGGTCACAGAGTAACCAGATACTTCCTGCTGTCTGTCTCAGGTGTCTCCTTCCTCCTTGTCCTGGGTCACACCTGCTAAGGACACCCCAAGCTTCACCAGATCAGTTCCTGTCCCTGCACTGTCACCTCTGCTGAGGTTCTTGGTCATGACACCAACTGTTGCTCTTTATTCTCCACCCTCCAGGTCTTGTTGGCCACAGTGGACAACGCCAACCTCCTCCTGCAGATTGACAATGCCAGGCTGACATCCGACGACTTCAGGACCAAGTAAGCCACTGTCCTAAACCCAAGAAAGCCACTTGATAAAGAAAGAGCTTTCGGATGATGTGCTATTTCCGAAGCACTTTGTGATGTAAACCTCACAGAAGCCTGGGGTGGTTTCGTTCCTGTCAAAACCTTTACTGCCCGATTCCCACTGCTTGTCCTAACGTAGGGGCTCACTTGCACAGAGCTTGCACGGTGCCTCCGTGCATGGCTCAACAAAGCCCAGACCCAGTGACATGGCCCAGTGACCCCGCAGCAAGGGGATGCTCCTGCCTCAAACAAGCACTGATTTAACAGTGGTTCCACTGCACTCACTAGTTCTCATCATCAGCAGAAGCATCAGGAGCAGCATCAGGATATGAGTATTAACACAATAGCATTGAGGAGCCAGTGACCAACAAACTGATCCCCTCTGACCTTGGCTGGCTGAGATCTCGGTGCCCTTCATGAATGTTTCCTTGCTGCCAGGTTTGAGACGGAGCAGGCTCTGCGCCTGAGCGTGGAGGCCGACATCAACGGCCTGCGCAGGGTCCTGGACGAGCTGACCCTGGCCAGGGCTGACCTGGAGATGCAGATCGAGAACCTCAAGGAGGAGCTGGCCTACCTCAAGAAGAACCACGAGGAGGTGAGCAGAGACTGGGGTAATAAGCGGGTGGGCTCCAATCTTCAGACCTCCTCCAAGTCTTGAATTGCTGGGAGTTGAGAAATGCTAGTAAGGAGGCAGAGAATGATCAGGACAGCAGTGCATCTTCTGGGGATCCTGTACTAACAAACGGAGCTGCTTCAGGCCCATAGGATCTCCCTCATGGAGAATGGGACCACCTACAAGCTCTGCCTTATTCTCTGGGGAAAGCCAAATTTAACTCCAGGAGAGATTTATTAAGACAGAATTTCATTATTCTCCTTGTGATAGTGGTGCAAAAACCCAGCCTGGCGCCCATTACTAGTTGCTTGGATGTTTTATGTCCCAAAGAACTTCTGTCTTGAGAAGAATGTCCTTATGTGCTGAGTGTTGGGTGCATGGGATGTTTCTGTTCTCCAGGAGATGAACGCCCTGCGTGGGCAGGTGGGTGGCGAGATCAGCGTGGAGATGGATGCTGCTCCCGGAATCGACCTCACCAAGATCCTGGCGGAGATGCGGGAGCAGTACGAGACGCTGGCCGAGAAGAACCGGCGCGACGCCGAGCAGTGGTTCTTCAGCAAGGTGAGCGGGCGGGCGGGCGCGCGGCGGGCGCGCGGGGCTGCGGCCACCTCTTCCCTGACCCGGCCTCGCCGCAGACGGAGGAGCTCAACCGCGAGGTGGCCATCAACACGGAGCAGCTGCAGAGCGGCAAGTCGGAGATCACGGAGCTGCGGCGCACCATCCAGAGCCTGGAGATACCGACACCGAGGCCCGCTACGGCACCCAGCTGGCCCAGCTGCAGGCCCTCATCTCCAGCGTGGAGGAGCAGCTGGCCGAGCTGCGCTGCGACATGGAGCGCCAGAACCACGACTACCGCCTGCTGCTCGACGTCAAGAGCCGCCTGGAGCAGGAGATCGCCACGTACCGCCGGCTGCTCGAGGGCGAGGACGCGCAGTACGTGGAGGGCGCGGGGGGCTCCGCGGCGCGGGGATGGCGAAGGAAAGAAATGAGGAGCAACCTGTTCTCCCGAGAACCCTTTGAGCCATGGCTTTAGCTCCCCGGCACGCGGCAGGGCCTCTCCTCCTGCTCCTGCTTCTTTGGCTGAGCCGCAGGTGCTGGGGATGCTCCTCCTGTGCCATCCCCAAGAGGAGCAGGTGCCTCCAGTGCTCCAGACAGCTGGGCTGCCTGCATGCTCCTCATACACACACATCTGAGTGTTTTCCCTTTAAATCTTGACACTAAGGAGTTTCAGGGAAGCAGTTTCATCATATTCTGGTACTATAAAAAGAGATGAGATCTTAAATAATCATTTTTTCACAGAAACCACTTACCATTTTGCCCTTTTTGACCATTCTTTCTTCTTCTCTTGTAGCATGACTTCCCACATAAGAGAAGGTAAGAACATGTCTTGACTGAAGCACTGAGCACAAGTAACTTTGTCGCATCCTTAGCCACCTTCTTAGCACAGATTCTTGCTCTTAACAAGAAACCCAGCACTGAAATAGCACCAAGGCCCCTTCCCCTTCCTTGTCTCCAAATCACTCTCCTCTCTCCATTGCAGGGCCCGTAACCACCCGCCAAATCCGCACCATCGTCGAGGAGGTCCAGGACGGGAAGGTGATTTCCTCTCGCGAGCAGGTCCGCCCGTCTCCTCATTAAGGTTGCCTCATGGCTCGAGCACAGGCCAAACCTCCCGCAGCAAAGCGAAAGGAGCTTCCAGCTTAAATGCTCTGGCTATGCAGGCCTGGAGAAGCCTCTGCCCTCTCCTGCCATCCTGCCACTGCTTCCCTGAGCACGGTGCTGTGCTCACAAGTCAAATAAAGCTTTTCTTCTCCTTTGTGCACCCTCGAGTCTCATCTCCTGTCTCTGAAGAGACGACCCGGCCCAGCTGTGGGGCTGCTTGCCAAAGGGGCTGTGGTCTGTCCGGGTCACTGGCCCCAAGGCCAGCACTGCCTTGTCACCCAGAGCCAGGGAGCTCAGTGAGACCAGTGCGGATGGAGGCCCAGAGAGAGCAGGGTCTTGGGGGGCGAGACGTGTCAGCGGGTCTCTGTATTTTATCTCAGATTTGGGGACTGGGGTTGCAGTTTGGGGGCAAAGTGCTTCATAGAATCATAGAATGCTTAAGGTTGGAGGGGACCTCTAGGGATCACCTAGTCCAACCCCCTGCACACGCAGGGTCACCTAGAGCACGTGGCACAGGGCTGCGTCCAAGCGGGTTTGAAGATCTCCAGAGAAGGAGACTCCACAACCTCTCTGGGCAGCCTGTTCCAGTGCTCTGGCACCCTCACCGTCAAGACCTTTTTCCTTAAGTTCCTGTGGAACTTTTGGTGCTTCAGTTTGTGGCCATTACCTCTAGTTCTGTCGGTGGCCACCAGTGAAAAGAGGCCGGCCCCATCCTCCTCACTGCCTCCCTTGAGGTACTTCTAGACACTGCTCAGGTCCCCTCTCAGCCTTCTCTTCTCCAGCTGAACAGGCCCAGCTCCCTCAGCCTCTCCTCATAGGGCAGATGTTCCAGGTCCCTGATCATCCATGTGGGCCTGCACTGGCCTCTCTCCAGCTGGACTCTCTTCCTGCAGAGCTAGCTCTGAATCTTAACTCGGTGAGTCCGAGCAAACCGGTGAATAAACGGGTAGGTGTCGCACAAAGGGACCCTGCGGATTCCTCCTCCTGGCACTGCCTCCTTCTCCTCAGAGCCCAGCCGAGCGCTCCGAGGGAGCGAAGGTGCCAATGTGGAGGGGAGGCCCCGGCTGCCCCTGCT